TTTTTTTTTTGTTTTTTTTTTTTTTTTTTTTTTTTCTTTCTTGGTACCAGGGATCAAACTCAGGACCTTGTGCTTGTAAGGCAGGCAGCAACAGCACTGACCTAAATCCCTGGCCCTAGGTTGATTTCTTTCTTTTTCTTTTTTAAAATTTCTTGATGATTGCCATTCTTTCTGGAGTGAGATAGAATCTCAGTGTTGTTTTAATTTGCATTTCTCAAATGACCAGTGTTGTTGAACATTCTTTCATATATTTGCTCTTTGTACTCAATTTGAAAAGTGTCTGTTCATTTCAGATTTCCGAGCCTTTTATTTTGAGGGTCTAAGCTTTACTTTTGAGTTCTTTATATATTCTAGATAGCCCTCTGTCAGAGAAATAGCTGGCAAAATTTTTTTTCTTCCCATTCTGTAGGTTTTCTCTTTACTTTGTTTCCTTTGTTGTGAAGGTTTTTAATTTGATATGGTTCCGTTTATATATTCTTGTTACTGCCATTGGGATTCTGTTCAGAAAGTCCTTGCCTATGCCTATGTCAAGAGCTTTACCTATTTTGTCTTTTAGTAGATTGTTTCTGTTTAACATTTAGATTTTTTGACCTGGGTATAGCTTTCTATTTTGTGTTGTATTCTCTACTCTTCTTTTTCAGAGTACCGTAGTCTTTGTTGTAGGTCTTTCACTTCCTTGTTTAGGTTAATTCCTAAGTATTTAATTTTTGTGATGCTATTGTGAATGGCATTGTTTTCCAAATTTATTTCTCAGTAAGTTCATTATTGGTATACAGGAATTCTATTGATTTTTGTGTGTTGATTTTGTATTCTGCTACATTGTAGAATTAGGTTATTTAGTCTACACTTGATCTTAGCCAAAAGGCCGAGAAGCGATAGGTTATTTAGTCTAGTAGTCTTTTGGTAGAAGTTTTTAGTCTTCTGTGTAGAGGATTATGTCATCTGTAAATATAATAATTTGACCTCTTCTTTGCAATACATACCTCTTTTATTTTTTTCTCTTGCCTGATTGCTCTGGCTAATGTTTTGAGGACTATGCTGAACAGAAATGGTGACAGTGGACATCCTTGTATTATTCCTGATTTTAGGAGGAAAGCTTTCCTTTTTTCTCTATTCATATGATATTGGCAGTAGGTTTGTCACAAAGGGCTTTTATCAGATTGCAATAAAGTCTTTCTATACCTGTTTTCTTTTTAAGATTTTTTTGATCATGAATAGATGTTGGATTTTCTGTAACTATTGAAATGACCATGTAATTTTTGTCCTTGCTCCTATTTATGTGATGTATTACATTTATTGATTTATGTATGCTGAACCATCCTTGCATTCCTGGGTTAAAGCCTACTTGGTCATTAGGTGTGGTCTTTTTGAGAATTTGTTGCATTCAGTTTATCAGCATCTTGTTGAGGAATTTTGAACTTATATTCATTAGAGAGTTTGGCCTGTACTTCTCTTTTTTCGGCTGAGCTTTGTCTAGTTTTGGAATTGGTAATTCTAGTTTCTAGGAATGACTTTGGGAGTATTCCTTCCCTTTCAGTTTCATTAAAGAGTTTGAAGAGTATTTGTGTTATAGAATTCAGCAGTGAATCCATTAGGACCTGGGATTTTCTTAGTTGGTAGATTTTTTATTAGTGTTTCAATTTCATTGCCTGTTACTGGATAATTTGGGGTTTTAAATCTTGGTTCAGTTTTGGTAATTCATTTATATATAGGGATCTGTCCATTTCTACTGAATCATCTAATTTATTATTACGCTATTTGAGAAATATTTATTAACAATCTTTTTTACTTTGGCAATGTCCATTGTGATTTTTCCTTTTTCATTCCTAATCATCTTGATTTGGGTCTTTTCTTTCTTTCTTTCTTTTTTTTTTTTGGTAAGATTGTCTAAGGGTTCATCTATTTTATTTATTTATTTTTTAGGTACTGGCTCTTCAATTATTTTTTTGTACCTGGGATCGAACTTGGGACCTTGTGCTTGCAGAACCACTGAGCTAAATCCCCAGCCCTTCAATTCATTCTTTGTATTGCTTTTAAATCTCCATTTCACTAATTTCTGCTCTGATCTTTATAATTTCTTTCCTTGTACTATCATCTCAACTTGCTGAAACAAACAAACAAACAAAACCCCAAGTAGTATCCAGTTTCCTGTTGTCTTTGATGTCACTGTCCTCATTTGGTCAAGTGGGGGTCTGGAGAGGTGAAAGGACTCACTAAATATTGGCTGATCAAGTTTAAGTACCTGTTTTCATGACTCCAGATTCCACACCCACCCCTGTACCGTTCCCCATCTCATTCCCCTTTGTAAGGCGGAATTATTTGAATGGTCAGGGATTGTTGAAGGTGAACATGGACAGGATGAATCTCATGTTTCCTTTAACCTTAGTCAGGCTCCACTTCTGATGCCCCCTTCCCTTCAGACTTCACATTCTCAGGGAAGCCTGGCCCTGTCTCTTCCTCCCCTCCTTTGAGCATCTCTATGTGGGAAAGCAAGTGCTTAGTGTCTCCCACAGCCATCTGGGAGGACTGGATGGACCAGTAACATGGACAGTGTCTGGGGCTTTGGCCACCTTGGGCTGTCTGTATGGTGCACAGACTCCAGTGGCAGTGGGGTCCCCAACGGCTGGGCTGCACGGTTGCCTTGAGGATGGTGGTGTGTGTCATTTATGAACCTGGGCTGTCATCCTGTTCTGCTGCATGGTATGAGGGCTCTCTGCATTTATTTCCACCCTCTGCACATAGGCACAGGACTGTCTGCTGGGCTTTGGTGTTTGTTCATTATCACTTTGAATATGGCGTCATGTTGTCTGGATGTGGATTCCGGTGTCTTTGTCTCATTGATTAAATGGTTTCCAAGAAGTTTTGCTGTGATTCTGAAGTGCCATGTGTGACTCTGTTTAGTAGGAGAGCAGCAAGGTCTTTACCAGAAAACCATTTAATGCCTTGTGAGATTAGATTCTTAGTGACCTTTTATTTTTAATCCATGTATTAATGGGCAGGCACAAGATGGCTACAGATATAGGAGCTTCCTGGAATTATTTTGGCCTGTAAGTACATAGCTTGCACATGTAGTAAAAAGCTTCCTACTTTCTACTCCTGGAATCCTCCAGTGTTTTCCTCAATTTCTTTCTTATTAAATGGCAGAAATATGAGTTGATGGTACAGACTACTGGGGTTACCTGTTTGCAGTACCCAAATGCAAACATGTCAGGTTTTTGGTAAATGGTACTGTGTGTGTGTGTGTGTGTGTGTGTGTGTGTGTGTGTGTATTTTCAGTATTGGGGATTGAGCTCAGAGCCTTCACACTGAGCTGCATCTTCAGCCCATTTTTTAATTTTTAATTTTGAGACACTAAATTGCCTAGACTGAGCTCACATTTGCTCTCCTCCTGCCTCAGTTTCCCAGAGTGCTGGGATCACAAGAGTGTGCCACCATACCTGGCTCTATTGTCATTATTGTTGTCCTTTTCTCTGAACTAACCAGTCAGTAAGATAAAATAAGGTAAGACAGGAGTTTCTCTGTGTAGTTTCTCCTTAGCCTCTTTCTCAAAACAATCTGAAAAAAGAGCAAAACAAAACCAAAAAAACAGGATTTTTTTTTTATATTAGATATAATGATATTAACTAGATGTGTTAAATTAGTTCTAATTGAAGGGAAATTTTAAGTTCATCGAGCTGAAAACATTTCTGAGATCAAAATGAGATATGAAGTTATTCACATTTAGACTAATTACATATTTGAAGTGACATTGTACACAGCCTTGGGAAACAAGCTACCGATGTTAGTGCTGAAGGATTGTGGTTAGAATCCAAAGTCCTGGAGTCAGACAGCTCTAGGATTGAGTCAGTTTCTCTTTATTGGGTGTCTTTCTGGCTAATAGCCTGAATTTTTCAAAGCCTTATTTTCTCCATCTGTAAAATGGAGATAAAAGTATTATTGATTGAGTCTGTGAGGCTGTTGTGAGTGTGAAATAAAGTCATGAATTTAAAGCACCCGATTCCTTGGCACAGGATGGGCTCCCTGTAAATATTAGCTTTTCATGTTAACTCCAGTTTTGGATAAAATGTGACATATTAGAATGTATCTGGGTGTGTAACTTCTGCTGTTGGAGTTGGCATTTATACAGTGTCTTCGTCATTTCTTTTTATCTCTGAGACACTGTCCCTGACACTCACAGATTAAAGAAGAGGAGGTTTATTTTGGGTCTTGGTTTTTAGAGAATTCAGTCTATTCGTCAGCTGGCTGGAAGGCTTGAAGGACATGGTGGGAGGGTCTAGAGGGAAAGCTGCTCACATCCGGCAGCCTGGAAGCAGAGAGCAATGGAAGGAGCTTCACACCCCCATAATGCACCTCTCCAGCCACGCCTCATCTCCTCACATGGATTCCTCAGTGGATTAGTCCACTAATGGGTACATCACCCCTGTGATCCAGTCACCTCCCAGAAGCCCCATCTCTGAATATGTGAGGTTTTAGTGGGGGCATTCTAGATCTAAACCATAGTATGTGGGTCCTTTATACAGTACACTAAATAGACCAACAGTAAAACTGCAGTGGAACCTTGACTTAGGAATTTGATCTGTTCTTGGGGGCTGGTTGTAACTCAGGCTGGTCAATTGACGGCTCAGGCTCCTCTGCACGGCTGTCAGTCTCTCCTGTACACAGGCAGATCTCAGAATCCTTAGACAGACACTCGCTCAGGATTTCTCAATTAACCCCACACAGGAACGGATGTTGTAATGTCCCTTCCAGAACTCTTTGAGGGTTAACCATCTGGAAGCATAAGCAGCCAGTATTCGGGTCCTAACTCAAGAACTTTGCTTGTAAGTTAAAACTAAAATTCTGTTGTGACCCAAGTTGTTCATATGTCAGGCTCTTTGGAACTCGTGGGTTCACTGTACTGTTGTCATCATAAACACAAAAGAATATATTGTGCAACAATCATCCACATGTAATCTTTTAACCCTTGAGTACTTTTTAGAATTTTTAAGTAGTACAAGTGCGCATGTATGGCATTGATAAATAAATCCATTTAATATTTTCCCACATAGATCACACCCCTCCGAGGCACCTACAAGCCTATAGTTTTGCCTCGTTTTTGCCATATTCCAGCCAACATGAACATTTTCTTTTGTTTGTCCTGATAATTACAGAATTATTGCTGTTGCACATTTTTTATTCCTCAGTTGGGTCCTCCATGACACATTTGGAAATGCTGGGTACAAGAGGGATACAGGAGATGAATCTAAAAGGGGAGACTGAGTTTATCGATACAGCTGTGTATGAATATAGAGGCCTTCAGGGTTCGAATTGCTGTAGTAATGCCTTTATTTTAATATGTCTTTCAGCAACTACTTGGCTGATATAAAACAATAAAATGCTTTGTTTTCAGATGAACATGGTTCAGGTTCCATCTCTTCTTTGCAATCTCTGAGAGTCCTCAGAACAGTCCGAAACCCTCTCTTGGCCACCACTTCCTCCTCTGTGAAATGGGCCAGTACTTACTGTGCCAGTTGTGGTGAGGATTAGAGATAAAGTCGGGCCTGAACACCAGTGCTTGGTGCATAGTTCTCATCATCCAGGAGCTCAACAACAGAAGCATAAACACTATGATCCAGAATAAGGCAGGTCCTTTTTGAGAAATTTAAAGAAAGGCTTAGGAAGCCAGTAGTGAGAGGATTGGTTTCTGACTGGTGGAACAGGATGGTTCCATAGAAGAGAGAGTGGGCTGGATCTGGAAGGATGGGGAGGTAACTGGCCATGAAGGAGGGGAAGTTCTATCTGGAAGAATAGCTGTGAGCAGAGGCTCTGGGATCCAGCTCTTCTCGCCTTCAGGACCCATTCCAGTGACCTCCCCGGTAGGATGTGCACCTCGTTGAAAGTGGATTTGATGCATCTCTGCCATTTGATGACATCACACCAGCAGGACTGCTTCCTGGTTTTTCCTTTGTTTACCTGTGTGCTTTTCTGGGAAAGCAGTTGGAGATGAAATAATATGCTGAATTTAATGGAAGGGTCACTGTTAGGTTAAAAGATCCGAAAACCTGAACCATAAGAAGCCTTTCTTATGGGAGGATCTACCGAGCTGTCTCTGAACAAAGGCAAGAGAGCAACATGGCTGAACAGGGAGCTTCTTTTAATAGGAGCAGGGTGGGGTTGAGTGATGTAGTGGCTAGGGATTGGGGGAGCTTGTGACATCACTAGGAGGGTCTTGTCATATCACTAGCTGCTAGGACAGTTTCTCTTCCTTTGGTTTCCACTGCCCAAGCTGCCCCTCCTGCTCTTACTTGTCACTCTGTGTGGCACCTTAAGCATCACTGTGTGTGTTATTACTTCTCTAGACGTGGGAAGCTGAAGTATCATCAGCAAAATGGCTTATGTGGCAACGTGCACCTGTCCCTTGGTAAAATAGATTCCATGCATATTGATAGCCCTCTCAGTGTTCTTTCGTCAGCACAGATTTTCAAGCCTGTGTGTCCAGTAGCAGCAGCTCTGTGGTTATAAGTGAATTCAGCCCCTAGCTTGGCACCCGCCCTCCTCCCACCTCAGTCTGTGCTCTTGAAGGCCAAGAGCAGAGCGGTCTCCTCTCCCCTCACTGCTCGCTCTCAGCCCATCAGCAGTGCGAAAGTCTCCACCTTCAGAATGCATCCAGTGTGAACAAGTCCGCTCCTTTCCCCTGCTGCCACTCAGGGGCAGCCATGGACCTCTCTCCCCTCCATTGTTGTGACAGCTCCTAACTCATGTTGTCCTGGCACTTCTTTTCTGCAAAGAGAAAGATGTGATTCTTTCAACAACCCAATCCACACTGCATCATTCTCACCGTTTTGCTGGTGGTGAAACCATAGACCCTCTGGCTTCCAATATTTTACTCTGCTCCGGTATCATTGGCCTCAGAGTCGCTGTTCTTTGCACACCCTGGGCATGTGTGTGCCCCATGGCCTTTGCACTTGTTCCTTCTGCATAGGCCCCCTTTTCTCAGTCTGTGCTGGGGCTCCCTACCCTCCAATAAGTCTGTAGCGAAGCCCTCTTGATCGGAGGCTTTGCTGACCACCCTATGTAGCGTGGCCTCTCTGCCCCACTGTATTGGCTTGCTTTGTTTCTGTAATACTCATCACCATGCGCATTTATGTGAATTTTTACTGTATCGCCAGTCTCCCATCAGAGAGACTGCAGGGACTCCGTTTCTTTCACCGCTGAAGTCAGTGCTTCCAGAGCAGTGCCTGGCCCACAGCTCATGCTAAGTAAGTCGAATCTGTTGAAATAGGTATATAACTACTGCGAAAAGCCACAGTAAGTAAGTTGAATCTGTTGAAATAGGTATATAACTACTGCAAAAAGCCACACTATGAAAATGCCTCTAGAATTTTTTTGAAAGGTTCAGGGTACAATTTGAAATGGAAAGACTGCCCTTAAGGCTGATCAAATACGTTTTCTTTCTGAAGCCTGCTGCTGCAGAGTTTTGCAAGACAGTGGCAGACTCATTCTAGGCTTTTTTCCCCCCTTATTGTTCTGTTGCTCCTTGTAGGATTTACAGCTTTTGAAAGATGGGGATTTGACTGTGATCGGAGATCGGGGAGCCACACTGAGTGGAGGGCAGAAAGCACGAGTGAACCTCGCAAGGTAAGTCTCCCTTGTCGGCCACCTGCCTGTCCCTCTCCGCAGCCTCCCCTGGGGGAACATGCAGAACTGGCTCCCTGGCTGTCGCACCCAGGAAGCCCTGGTTTTGGGTTATCCCTTTGGTGCTCACAGTGAACACCCCCTCGACCAGTGTCCTTACAGTTTGCAGGAGAGTGCTGGGGAGTGAAAGCAGTTCTTCTAACACTGCTTTCACTTTCTAGGGCTGTCTACCAGGACGCTGACATCTACCTCCTGGATGACCCACTCAGTGCAGTGGATGCGGAAGTTGGCAAGCACCTGTTTCAGCTGTGAGTGCGCATGTGTCTTTTGTCTTCTGCCTTTAGGAGCCCTCACAGTGGGGCCAGGGAAGGCTTTGCAGCTCCGGAGGACTGTACCTGCCTTATATCCTTCTACCCACCCCCCAACCGTTTTAGAGAAAACTTAAATGAATGCAAGGTCAAAGTAGGAAAAGCCGGAAGGTGATGCCAGTGTGTTGAAGAGAGTTGCACATGTGTTAGGGAGTTAAGAAACAGTGACAAATTTTGTAAGCTTTTGCCTTGCTCCTTGCAGTTGATAAAAGTAAGACAGTGTAGATGGAACCAGACCCCAAGAATAAGAAGATGTATGATTTTTTTAAATTGAAGGGTAGGATTTATAGCCTGGTGCTAGGCTGTTATATCTTTTCCTCTGTCATTTGTGTATGGTGTGTGAGCAGTGGCGTCTTCAGCATGAATGCAGGGCTTCCTAGGAAGAGCCCTGTTGCTGGTTCTGTGCTGCCTTCTTGATGTGTTCTGGAATTCTTTCTGCCTTCAGTGCCTATATCCGGATTTCCCCTTCTGATGGAGACGTTGGTGAGGTTGGAGCCTTACTGTAACTTCATTACCTCTCTAAAGGTCCTGTCTCCAACTGACAAGTGCTGGGGTTGGGTTTCAATATTCAAATTCGAGGTGGGAGTGTTCAGTCTATAACAGGTCCTAAATAGCAAAATGAGAGTAGAGATTTGAGCAGGGTGAGAAAACGACAGCTCCGGGCTCTGGCTTCTAGGGGCTGGGGACACGAGGCTATCCGCTGAGCATGGCTTTCAGTGGAGAGGCATTTTCCCAGCAGAGCGGGGCTATAGAATATTCCTGATACTGGAGTGGTGAAAGAAATTCTGGATGGCGATAGTGGTGAGTCTTCCTGGTGGGACACTGCAGCAGTCTCTGGGGAAGAGAGAGGAGAGCATTCTAATTGCTAGGTATCAGTATGCACATCACAGGAGCTCCCCAAGTTTTCCTTTAGACACAGAAGTGTTTATAAAGTCCTCTTGCACCTTTAAGGTTTAATGGCTTTGGATATACACTTGATAGAAGCAAGCTTGTTAAAATTGTTATTTGCTAATCAGAACCACATTCTTTGGGGAAACTTAGGGCAGGGAGCACGAATGTAATTTAGGAAATCACTCACCAGCAACTGGAGAATGTTCTCAACGAGTTAGAAAATTGGATTGAACAATATGCTATGAAAGATGGCGGTTGTGTTGAAGCTTAGAAATGTGAAGTGTTTTGTATTAAAAGTGAATGAATTACACTTCTGTTTGCCATTAACAGTTTTACTTCAATCATGAATATACATCCAAGGTTATTAAGGTTTTCGAGTCTTACAACTATATGTTACGAACATGAAGAGGATTCTATCTGGTATTGAAGGCCTGGGGCCCTTTGAGTAACTGGTGCCTGATGTGTTACCAGCTATGACTCTTGTCACATTTTAGAAAGCCCAAATTCCCAGGCCTCTGTGTCCCCCGAGATCACTTATTCCAGGCTGTTGTAAGGATATTTCTCACACTGCCTGCCGTAGTCTGTTCAGGATGCTGTGACAAAATACCACAACAAATCGGGTGGTTTATACATAACAGATTTGTTTCTCATGATTCTGGAGGCTACAGAGTCCAAGATCCAAGTGCTGGTAGCTTTGGTGTCAGTGGAGGGCTTACTCTGTGGTTCGTAGACAGCTCTCTTCCTGCTTCCTCCTCAGATGGCAATTCTCTTGGGCCTCTTTTGTAAGGACACCAGGGCCCGGGAAAGGCCTCACCCCTCACCCCATCGCACTGCGATTAGGTTGCAGCATACCATCTGGGGCGGGACAGAAGCATCCGGACCGCAGCAGTCCTTCGCCTTCCCTGTTTCAGTTCTTGATGGATAACCCCATTTCCTGTCAGGATGTGCTTTGAAAAGCTCGAAGGGCAAATGTGTTCTCTGCCTCTTTCACCTTTCCTACCCTTCCTCACACAAGCTGGTGCTCCTGCTGTGCCACTGCCGTGGGGCACCTGACTGAACACAGCCGATCTCATGTCTTCGTGTCTGTGGGGTGTGTTCCTTCTGTCACAGGGCTGGGGAGCCCTGGCTCAGGGAGGAGGACAAAGAGGAAGGAAGGATGCAGCCCAGCCTGCCTGCCTTTCCCTCCTGCTCCTCCTGGGGACACTGTGGTCTTCCCGCTGCCCGCAGCCCTCAGCGACTGGTGCGGGACATGTGTGTGTGCCTGCCCTGCGCCCCTGCTCTGGGCTGTGCATGCATGGAGAGCCTTCCCCACCCACTGACAGTCTTTGGTGTCACCTTGCAGAGAGTCTTTCCCAACTTTTCTATCTCCAGTAGCAGCTTTCACTGAGCTTTTCCTCTAGCCCACATCACAACCTATCAGTGCGCTTCCTGTTCATACCGCCATGTCTCCTGTGTTGCAGGGTGTTGTCTGATTGTGTGTCCTCAGCATTTAGTGGCTCTTTCTTGTTTGTGTTACCTCTACCATGGTATTGTCAGCTCTGAAGAGCCCATAGGATAGGATAAGAATTAAAGTGATGCATTGCCAAATTACTTGGTATTTTTGTGGCTTGGCCAGGCACAGTGGTGCATGGCTATAGTTCTAGCTAGTCAGGAGGCTGAGGCAGGAGGGTCATTTGCATTCAGAGTTTGGAGCCGGCATGGACAACATAGTGAGACCTTGTTTCTTTTTAAAAAAATACTTTTTGTATCACAACTTGGAAATTTTTACTACTAACAATTTAGGAAGTATTTTTCCTGGAAATTTTGAAAAACACCTAATTTAGGAGAAACTTAAAGCCATCTATTGCAATATTACTGTAATTATTTATATTATCTTGTCCATGGTATTAGGAAGCAGACATTCTGAAATATTTAACTTGGCCTTCTTGGGCATCATTGTCCATAAGATGTGACTAATATCTTCCTTCAGATATTTACATAAAGGGGTGAACGGCTGGTAATTTTGAATTAAGGAGGAAGAATTCCATTAAAAGTTTGAGTCCTGCATCAAAAGAGGGGTTTAGTAGGTTGAGAAGCTGAGGTTGCAATAACCCAAACTAGGACTTTTCCACAGGGAAAAATCAATCCTTTTGGATTGAAAGAATGAAGTGATTGTTTTGGCATCTACAGTCTAGAGTCTTGGTTCTGATCAGAGGCCTGTCCTAAAAAATCACCTTTTCTTCATGACTTTTCAACCCTGATTCAAAGCTAACAGCGGCTGGTTAGCGGAGTTCATGTTTCTTGACCCTTGATTATGTTGCAGATCCTTTTCACAGTCTGGTGTTTTTATTCCTCAGAATGTGCCTGAGAGTTGATGTTAGCTTTCTTCTGAGGTGAAGAAACAGAGCTTCCCTGAGGTGTAGGAATTTTCTCGACACTGCCAGGCTGGGAGGAGGAGAGCAGGGATTTGAAGAGCTGGGATTCTGTGTTTCTCTGGAATTCGCCGTCTGACCAGCCTCGGCATGTGGTGTCGTGGCCCCGTTCCTGCATCGCTCAGTGAAAGGCCTGGGAACCTGAGTATCAATCAGCAAGACCCCTGGGCATGGCCCGGTGCCCTTACCTGGGCCTGTGCTCTCAAGTTTCTGTGTTTGAAGACTCAGAGCACTTTGAAGGGCGGCCATTAAGTATCTCCAAGGTTGAATACCCAGGTCATTCTTGTCCTTGCATCCACTGGATGGTTTTTGTTATGATGTGGACCTTTCAGTTTTGTTCTCTCATTTTCATGTTTAGAAGATTTTGGTTCTCATATGGGAAAAATTTCTTCCAAGATGGGACTGAAAGTATTGTGGTAACTGACTGTGGCCTCGGTTGCATTCAGTTTTCTCTCTGCCGTTATCTGAAAAGAAAGGACAAGAGAATGCACTCCAGTAAAGGTCGCCAAGAATCCAAGACTTTCTTTTGTGTGGTTAATGTGTATGCACATCATAATCTCCTTGGAAACAGTCTAAGGAAAATAGTACTTTTTTATATATGACATTAGTCTGTCTTTCCCCCATTCTTTTATACCAATAATTTGTATTTTAGTCAGTCAGGTTTTAGGATCTTAGTATCACTAAACCATTTTTATCGTGAAATATAAAAATGAGTTTTATAAAAAAAAAAAATAGCAGCCAATGCCTCTTTTGGATTGCTATTTAGAATTTGTTAGCAGAGAAGCAAGACTCAAATTTTCTGCTAGTGAATTTGAGTACCCATTGGCTCCATGGTTTTATATTTGTATTTAATTTATACTTACATGTATATTTAAACTGCATATCTGTGACTGCTGTTCTGTCTTGGGCTCATTATGGTTTGAAATGTGCGTTTCAGGTCAGAGCACCTGTACTAATGTGTTTTTCATACTGGACTTTTTACATTTGTAGGTGTATTTGTCAAACCTTGCATGAGAAGATCACAATTTTAGTGACTCATCAGTTGCAGTACCTAAAAGCTGCAAGCCATATTCTGATACTAAAAGATGTAAGTAATTCTGAGATATTTGCCGAACTGCCTAGTCCTCAGGTGTGTTGAAGGAAGCGTCTCCCTGCAGGTCACCTGCCTCAGGGTTCTCTGCAAACTTTCTCTTCCTCAGTTTTGTAACTCTTGCTTAGAGATTCACATCTCTGAGAAGAAATTCAAAGGACTTGTAGAAATGTCACCGTTACACCCTAAAACATAACACCCTAACCTATATAAAATTTCTAACCTGCAACTGTTAACAGTGAAATTGCTGATCACCGTGCTATGCTCTTTAGAAATTTGTCTTCTTTTTTCCACAAGTTAAGCCAGAATAGATCATTTGGAAATTTGATAGTTACGCAGTTTGCCTGAGGAGAATCTTCTGTCAATAACAACAGTTTGGTCAGGTGGCTGAGCATCCCCTGCTCAGAGTACCTGACTTCCTGGCATAGCCAGGAGGTGCTGGGCAAACTGGGCAGGTCTTTTCAGTGCCTGATTGGGTGACAGCCGCAAAGCCCTGGCCATCTCAGGGCTTCCCTCCTCACTGGGGGTAGAGGCTGTGAAGGACGGCCCAGGGGACCTGAGAGACAGGACACCAAGGTGCGTGCCATGCTGTCACCTGGGCTACAAGCACCTTGACGCAGGGAGGCTGGTGACGTGTTCCTGAGGGAGGAAGGCACCTGGCATATGGATGAACACAGGGGGCTGCAGGCTGACTGGGGCTGAGTGAGCCAGGGAGGGTGTGGAGGGAGCTGAGCTGACAGCACTGGGCAGTAGGCCTGGAATTGAGATGGAAGCTCTTTGGTCCAGAGAGCGGGGAAATGGTGTGATCTGATTTGTGATTTCTTTCCTTTTTTTTTT